TGCAAATCTAATTTCTACGGTATTGTGGGATTTTTCTTGGCTGCTGAGACTACCCCTGCGATCAGCATCAGCATGTCAGGTTGATAAGTGCTTGAGAATGTCAATGTTTCTATCCCAACTTCAAAGTCATATTCAGTATACCCGACATACTCCTTGATCCGCATCTCTTAAATCTTTGCCAGTCTCCTTTTATTGTCAATTTGTCCACTTGCATTGCTTAATTTCTAACACTTTCAGACTCGTTTACATTAAAGGTGCTATCTAATTATAAATTCCTATTCTCAATGGAATTATTAATAGTCATACATAAAATGTATAAAGATATTTGTACATGTTCCAGACCTTTCAAAACAAAATCATAATAAATCATAGTAATCAGTGAAGTGGTTCATTGGCCAAGAACTTAAAGCAAGTACCATATATTTACTTACTTAAAATTTGTAAAATTTTTACATGCTAGTGTAAGAGGCATTAACAACTGCCCAATATTTCTATGTGCATCATATTTATGCACTAATTTAAATTAGGATGCTGCATAATTTAACTGGTATTGTGTGTTAGGTTTGACAAAATAAATACGTACTTTTCCCCATGATCTCAGCCCTGCAATTTCTGAAGAGTAAACACTCCAGCGTAACAACTGGAAGCTGTTAGTGTTCAGTACACAACACTCATTGTTCTTCCTCCTACAATAATGTTCTCCTTCAAGAGCTTGGTGAAGTCACCAAGCTCATGTCATTTTTTTTACTCATTAATGGGATGAGGGTGTCACTGGCTAGGCAGCATTATGCTTTGACTAGTCTGAATTTTGCCATTATTCTTTGTCGCAGAAAACAGTTTGTATATGATGCACGTGGTGCTGGATTCATATTTGTGGTTCTTCTCCATAGGTTTTTAAACCAAAAAGTAAACCTTTGCGAATTCACAGAGAACAAAAGGCCAAGACAACAGGGTCTGCCTGACTGCAACACTATCAACTTAATTTTTGGATTACAGCCTCATAACTGGGAGTCAAGGCTACCGAAATAGGACTTGATGCAATATGAAAACAACTTTAAAAGAAAGCTGGAAACAAAACCCAAAATATATAGTTGAGTTTATTATTAGTAGTTTCATGGCAGAAACTCTACTACTGTCTGATTAATCAGTTCTTAGTGAACACACTCCCTGAACTAATGATGTGGGTGTTTCAAACACACTGGTATAGACAGTAATAACAAAGTGTGGAGCTGGAGGAATACAGCAGGCTAGGCAGCATCAGAGGAACAGGAAAGCTGATGTTTCGCGTTTTGAAGATTGAGTTGATATTGTGACATGTCCAAGTTGATCAACTGGCAAAATGTTTTAAAGAAATGCTCACTACCATTGGGAAGTCTAATCTCAAATTTAAAAATTCAAGGTAGAATCTAATTTGAAACCAATATACCAAATCTGTTTTTCTAACAATACATTTAAACGTCATTTGTATCTTGATGTAGAATCATTTGCAAACACGTTATTGTGCCATCAGTTATCATTTAATGTGGGCATTTTCCACTGCAATATAATCCTCCTTAGCCTTCACTGGAGTGCTATTCATGAAATTAATCCTTCAATAACCATAAGTTACCAAGAAGGAAAAATACTCCTAAGCAAACGGAGTAAGCTTTAATAATAAATACAAGACACGTTAAGTTGAGATAACAGCCCAAATTGAGCTCCTTTTTCCTCAAAACAAGTTCAGGCCACTCATTCTTTCAAAACAACATAGCTTGCATCCGTATAGTACCTTTCATGTAAAATAGTTTTCTAAGCTACTTCTGAGGTGCATGAGAGAAAAATAAAGTCAAAGAAGGAAATCCAATAATGACCAACTAAAGAGAAGGAAATAGAGTTGAGGAGACATAGATTTTGAAGTGGTAGCGTGGGGATTCTTACAGCATCACACAAAGGCAACTGGAAGTATAATCATTAAAGGTGGTGTGAATCTTTAACACTGAGCCATATCCAAAGGATTTCCACAAAGATGTGATTACAGACAAAAAATAGAGGAGCGATTAAATGAAGTTCAAGTGGTGGGTTTTAGGGATAATCATAAAGGAAGAGAGAGAAGGGAATAAAAGATGAAATTTAAGGAGAGAATTCTAGATGATCAGACCTTCAAGTCCGAAGGATTACCTTCTATTCGAGACTAAAGTTCAAGAAACGCAGTATGAAAGGATTGCGGGAAAGGGCAAGATCATGGGAAGATTTAAATACAAGATAAGAATTTGAAATGTATGGTACTGAGTTCTGGGTCAAAAAGTACAGGGTGATGTGTGAGCAGGACTTGATGTGGGATAGGGTAAGAGTTTGAATGAGCTAAAAGGTTTGTAAAGAATGTAAACCAGGAGTTAAAATTGGAATAACAAGGCATAGAGCTGGATGAACACAGCAGGCCAAGCAGCAGGAAAGCTGACGTTTCGAGTCTAGACCCTTCCATTTCTGCAGAAGGGTCTAGACCCGAAACGTCAGCTTTTCTGCTCCGCTGATGCTGCTTGGCCTGCTGTGTTCAGCCAGCTCTACACCTTATCTCAGATTCTCCAGCATCAGCAGTTCCTACTGTCCCAGTTAAAAAAGGGAAGCTTTGTTTGCCCTCAATACCAACAATTCAAAGTCCTTAATTGGTTGTAAACTGTATTCACCTACTACATAATAATCTACATGTTTGGTACCCATCACTAAACTCAATATCCACTCCACTGACCAATACTTAGCATGAAAATGGACCCTTCGGTCCAACTCGTCCACGCTGACCAGATATCCTAAACTGATCTAGTCCCATTTGCCAGCATTTGGCCCATATCCCTCTAAACCCTTCCTATTCACAGACTCATCCAGATGTCTTTTAAATGTTGTAATTGTACCAGCCTCTACCACCTCCTCCAGCAGCTCATTTCATACATGCGCCACCGTCTGAAAAAGTTGCCAGTTTAGTCCCTTTTAAATCTTCTCCCTCTGACCTTAAACCTATGCCGTTTAGTTTTGGACTCCCCCCACCCTGGGGAAAGGACCGTGGCTATTCACCCTATCCATGCCTCTCATTTCATAAACCTCTAAAGTCACCCCTCAGCCTCTGATGCTTCAGGGAAAAAAAGCTCCAGTCTATTCAGTCTATCCACATAGCTCAAACCCTCCAATCCCGGCAACATGCTTCTAAACCTTTTCTGAAACCTCTCAAGTTTCACAACATCTTTCCTATAGCAGGTAGACCAGAATTGAATGCAATATTCCAAAAGTGGCCTCACTGATATCTACAATATGCTGTAGTACATACCACGCACTGCAGCAACTCACCAAATTTATCTCAACAATTGCACTTGGACCCAGGACTGGGAAGTCTTTTAAGAGATGCCTGCAGCTGGCATCTTGTTGTAAGGTGGAATCTTGCTAGATGTTCATCTTAAAAAGCTGTCATAAATCCCTCTTCTAGTACTAGTCTAAGGCTTACTCAAAGTGGTGAAGGATAACCACATGAAAAATTCAAGAGAAGAGGTACATTCTTTTATTATATAGTCATAAGATAGAAAGTTACAGTAAAGACTAAGACTAAACAGCATTACTTATCTTGCAATGTAATTATCTCCTACAAGATAGTTTACACAACATGATTAGACTCTAGTCTAACTGCAAACTGAAGCAGACTGACTGGCTTTCACTTAAATGTCAGTGAGTTGAGCCATATAAAATGTTCCTCAGTTAACCTTTTCAGACCAAATGCCTTATATCATAAGACAAGAGCAGCAACTTCATGGGAACATCACATTTTGCAAGCTCTTGTCCAAATATCACAATATCCTGACTTGAACATGTATTGCCATTCAGTAACAATTCCTGGGTCAAATTCCTGCAGTTCTGTGCCCATCATCATTATGGAAACAATATCCCTGCAAGGATTTCAACAGGTCAATAACATACTTTCCTTTTCAAGGCAACCAGGAATGGACAATAAATGTAGCGTTGCCAGTTTCATCTACATTCCAAGAATGAGAAAAATAGGACTTTAAACCACAGAAAGCTCTCTTGGATTGTAACAGTTACATTCTCTTAATGGAGAGATTCAGGTACACACTTATGAGAAGCAATAAATCTTAAAGATCAGTTTGAATGAAAACTCCATTTTCTGTGGATACAGAAAACACATTGCAGAAAAGGAATCTGAATGAAATTGCAGTATTTTATACAAAAACAAGAAATACCTTGAAATAGAATAGTCTTTGGCAAATAAATGAGATTATAACTTAATCAAATTGACACATGATCGATGCAACCAAGTTACTGCAATTTACAATATTTAGGAGTAAAAACAAGAATTCAGGGCATATACTCAAAAGGAATATTGAAGCATATGAAGGGGTACAAACATACAGGGAAGATGGATAAACCATTGAAAGTATAAATGCAAATAGGTCAAGTTACAAAAAAATAAAGCCCTCAGCACTTTAGCCTTTATAAATAAGGCAGAGACTACAGATACGATAAGTGTACACAAAGCGACAGTTAAGCCATAGTTAGATGAGTGCATGCCATTTTGGTAGCCCAGGTACAGCACAAATTCAGTGAGATGCTATCAAGATTTCGAATCCACTATTCTGCAGAGACTAGAGATGATTTTGAATTTGGCTTTATGGACAACTGTTGCGCCATGAAATATATCCCATCAAATTGATGAGGCACACAAAATTGTATTTTCTAAATGAAAACAGAATAAACATTTGAAATAGTGGAAGATATCAACCTTTGAGAAAGAAAGCAGGGTTTAATTTTATGTTGCTCTCTCAAATATTTATACACACAACGGGCCAAATGGCCTTCATGGTGTTTACTTTGACATCGCAATAGTGATGTCAACAAATCAGCAGCATCCTCTGCATTTCTCTTGATATTCATTTCCATTGATATTCATTTCCATTGCAGTCAGATCCTTAACACAACCTTCCCTTTATTCCAATGGAATGAACAAGTAAATAAAATTATCATACCTTTAGGTGACAGAGAGGTTTTAGACATGTTTAAATGCTTCAATCCCTTTGGAATTTTGGCAAATTGGCTGCTCAGAGAAGACATACCTGCAAAACAAGAGGTATTCATCATTACAATGAAACAAATACATAATAATATGTAATTTCGGAACTAGTAAACATCTGATTAGTAGAATTTCTCAACTCAAGTAAAATTTTATTCCAGGCAAGTTTTCTCCACTCCCCCAGGAAATAATGATAGATAGAAACTAGCAAAGGTGGCTAATTCCTCCTAAGGCATTTTATATTGATACATCACAATTAAAAACACAATTTAAAAGTATCTCCATTAGACCCAGATAATATCCACAGGAATTTAGGACTTACAAAGAGTAGGACTTTTGACCCTTTGAGCCTACTCCACATTCAGTAGTTCTAAAGACTCAAAACATTAACTCTGTTTTTCTCTCCACAGATACTACCAGAACAGCTGAGTTTCACCACTATTCTCCACTTTTATTCATGATGATTGTTGAACTGGTTGTGCTCTCAGTTCCGCTTTCTTGTCTGCACTCCACAACCTTTGATTTCCTTAGATCAAAATCTAACAAACTGAGCCTTGAGAAATTTGAAGATTCTCTACCTTCTGGGCAAGAGAATTCCACATATTTACAACCCTTGAGATAAATTACTTGCACGTCAAATCTGCCTTAAAAAGGAGACATTCCACACAAATGGAAACATCCTCCAGGGAACCACAAATCCAATCTCCTCAGGATCTTATCTGTTTCAGTAAGGTCACCTTTCACACTTTGAAACACCAACAGTATATATCAGACGACTCTTTCACCTCCAGAACTGCTTCAAAAGCAATTATATATTTTTTTCAAATAAGGAAATCAAAACACACAGTACTCCCAACGTAGTCTCACCAACACCCTGCAGAACTATATGACAACCTCTATAATTTGATAGATCAACCAAAGAAAACATCAGTTTAATGCTTTTGTTGCAACGTATCACAATGGTATTTCCCATGAATTAATTATTGGATAAAAATTCTTCCCACTACAGCATAGTTTTTTTAGAAACTTAGTGAAGGCAAAAGCATTTATCGAAAGGTCTTGCAGTTGTAGAAACAAAAAGGGGGCAAAAGTGGGTTTCAGCGGTCATGCAAGACAGGCAATAGTGAATTGGAAGCCCAATCTACATCCTTCTAATTGGAAAATAGAAACGGATGGAGTAAAATATATTTATTTATTCACCATTGACTGTTTGGCAGAATGGACAAAGTCAAATGTTACTTCCTAACCAAATTACTTGCTATATACTGTATAGAGAAGAACTTAACCAAAATGACAATACACTACTGCCGAACCAATAGAAATGAGTCACCTTACTGGAACATTATAAAAATGCACAATTAACAGAGCTGAGTTTTAATCTTTTCTTATATTATCATAAGCAGAAATACAAAAATAGTGCTCAAGAGTCAAAGAAGAGTATTATAGCCATTCAAGTCCAAACATATTTGGATTATCTATTAACACCAGAATAAAAAAGGCATTAAACATTACAATGGGATGACCTGCCTCTTAACATTTCAGAAAGGAGGAAATATATAGCAGGAGTAAAAGTCACAACAACACAAATTATACAATTCAGACACCATAAGCACATCATGAGCAGCAAGGATAAAATGAATGCGTGTACGCAACAGCGCTAAAAATGTGTAAATTGAACCTGGACAAATGACAAAGCAAATAAGACAGCCCTAAAACAGTAGAGGGCAGCAATACAAGAGCAAACTACAGCAAGCAATTGTGGGGAAAAATATAGTGAGTGTGAAATCCATAAAGCAAACTGGACGAGGATGCAAAAGTAAAAATTTTACAGGCAAGTTTGCAGTGCACTAATCACAATAAAATCACATGGTAAACAGTGATTTCATCTACCTTGGAAGCACGTTTAATTTTAAAAAAAAACAAAACAAAAAAAAAAAAAAAAAAACTTATAAATGGAAAGTTGCCCAGTTTTGTCTATAGCTGGTTGAAGACTGAATATTTGACATAAAAGATGGCAACAACGTTGGCAGAGAAACTTCAGAAACTCACTCTGTGGAACTGGCAGGAGCTTGGAATTACATTAAAACTTTTCATATCGTAAATCTCTTAATCAGCATTTCCTACTCAATGATAAATGTTGACATCAAACCACGTCTAAATAGGAGAACTGGAGCAACATTTATCAACAGTGTGCACTCAATACAAGATTATTAGTATACAACTAAATGTGTGTACTGTAGCAAATTGGTAGTGCCCTTGTCAAGGTCAAAGTTACAGGATCAAGTCTTTTCCATATACTTGAACACACAATTGCCTGAGATAACAAGGTGTAGAGCTGGATGAACACAGCAGACCAAGCAGCATCAGAGGAGCAGGAAAGCTGACGTTTCGGGCCTAGACCCTTCTTCAGAAAACACAATTGCCCTTATTCTCCAGTGGAGGGTTCAAAGTGAGGCACTGTTGGCAAGCTGCCATTTCTCAAACAATTTAAACTGAGACCAATGTGTCAACTAGGTTAAAGGAAAGATCCCTTGGCACTATTTAAAGAAAAGCAGGTGGATTCTCCTGGTGTCCTGACCAACATTTATTCCTCAACCAATGCCAAGAAAAACAGAATATCTGGTGATTAGTGGCACAAATGGTTGTCAGGCTTTGTGCTTCCGAACTACTTCCCATGTTACTCTTTTTTACAATAGTGAATACACTCAGTCATTTCACTGGCTGTGAGACATTTTCAACAGGCACAGTGTAAACACAATAATGATGTCAAACTTCTCTTCTTTTTCATGAGATTTGCTTAAACAGCAAGTTTTCTTTTTCACTTCTATGTTCACCACCAACTTATCTCTTAAAAGATTCAGTCACACCAGTTCAGCTGTTTTACGAAAAACCATGGACCTTCATTTCAAAGACTTCAAAATAGACTTCTATTCCTAAGATTTTCTTGTCTCAAGACCATATGAAATAGAAATAGGAATAGGTCGTTCAGCCCTTTGAGCCTGCTCCACCATTCAATAGGATCATGGATGATCCAACAGCTGTCATGTCTACTTTTGCGCGTTTTCCCCCAATAATCCTTGATTCCCCTACTGATCAAGAATCCATCTATCTCAGCCTTAAATTTACACAAGAATTCTACCTCCAAAGCTTTTGGTGGCAAGGAGTTCCAAAGGATTTAAACCCTCAAAGAAGAAATTCCTTGTCATCACAGTCTTAAATTGGCTCCCTTTATCCTGAGACTTTGCCCTCTGGTCCTAGACTCTCCCATGAGGGGCAACATCCTTGCAGCATTTACCCTATCAAGCCCCTTAAGAATCCTATATGTTTCAATGAGATCACCTCTCATTTTTCTAAACTCCAGTGAGTATGAATTCCACCTATGTAGCCTTCACTCATCACACAATCCCTCTATACCATGCATCATCTTAGTGAACTATGCCTATACTATGCTTATGTAAAGCCCATAAACCTGTGAGTAAACTAAGTAATCTCAGACACAAAAAAAGAAATTGCTGGAAAAGCTCAGCAGGTCTGGCAGCATCTGTGAAGAGAAATCAGAGTTAACATTTCGGCTCAAGTGACCCTTCCGCAGAACATGTATGTTAACATAACAGTTTTTATCATTTGGATAACCATTTTAATTGGCTATAAGTAGGCAGATGGTACTACTCATACTCAACCGAAGTGTCAATTTTGGTCAAAGCAATAAAAAAATTCAAACACATACATGGAAACGTGACCAAGAGAGTGCACAAAATAATATTAAAGCTCTTCTGCTGTTGTTTTAATTCACAGGCAAGAACATTAAGTTCAGATATAAAAAACACATTTATTCACTGAGCAGCTGAATTGTACAGACAAAATGACCCATGTTTCTGCTGAATTGTTTTTTCATTTTAGGGATGGGGGATGATAGTTGGAGAGGGATGCAGTTGGAAAGACCGGGTGAAATATTGCAATTGACTTCAGAGGAGGGAAACAATCAGTATCACTGCTCATGCAGGTGCACCTGGTTAGACGGAAGGTGAGGGTAAAACCCTCGTCAACTGTGACACCCACTCTGCAGTTGAATAGTCTGCTAAAGAAGTCTTGCAATTCAAAAGGAAAAATGTCCACTTGTGTACAACACCAGAGATGATGGCTGTCTCTTCCAGGGAAGTTAATGCAGTTATAGAGGGAGACAAATAATTGGTGACAAAATGAAAAGATCATCGAGAATGCTGAAGCCAATTAGCATATGAAATAGATTAATATTTTATGCTGATGAATATTTTTTAAATTAAGAGTTAATCTAGTTTTCCTCTCAGCTAGAAATTGACCTGTAATGTATTTTTTAAAAAATTGTCATTGATACTAAAAAGGAGAAAAACAAATTCCAGAATGAAAACTGGTTACACTCAATTGGTTACATTAAGTTCACATTAACCTTCTAAAACAACAAATGCTACAAATTATCTGCTGTGTCAAGTACAGCGTCAGGTACTCTGCACCAAAGACCAGAAACTATTCACAGTGGGGCAGAAAGGTAAAAAGCCTGCAATTTTTGAAAATCTGCAGCGTTACAGAACCAAGAGGTTCCAAGCAATGTTTTGGTATTCAGTTTAACATAAATACTTGCTGTCTGCAGCACATGGTTCAATAAAGTAGCACACTGAAACTACACTAGATTAACAGCAATAACATTTGATCAGATTGCATGGGGTTCTTTGCATCTCAATTTCTTTATTTCTCAAACAGGTTAGCAACAAGATTTTTCAACCAAGTCAAAGAACATTCTCTGGGAATGCATTTAAGGTAGAAAAATTGTCAAAATGGCATAATCTCTGTTTTACGAAACGTATGTAAAATTATTATTAGTACACACCAAATAAGGAATTTAGAGGAAAACACTTGCAAAAGTCCACAAATACAATCTATGCACAGACCACTGTATTTAATAACAAACTTCTGGATATTTCCTGTCTACATCAGAGCTTATAGTCCCCATATGTTCTTTCTGATTGTACATAAATGTATATTTAAAATGCAAATGACTTTCTTTGTTGAGGAGGATTGGCTGTTATCTCGTTGCAAGATCTGCATTCTCATATTAGATTTTTATATAGCAATTTCTCTCATTAATTTTATATCAGTTTTTGGAATCTGCCCAAATCCCTAATAACTCTATTTTTTCAGAGCTGTGTAGCTTGCAGATTTGAGAATAGTTTTAATGTAGTCCCGCCAATCCATTCACTTTCAGGCTAAAAAGATACACTTACAATTACAGTTGGCACCTGAAACGGATCAGAGAATATTAACTGCACTGAACAATTACACGAAAATAAGTAGTCTGTAATTGTCTACTACCCTACTCTTAGGAGCCTTCCAACATCACAATACAAGCCTCTGAGAGACAATGACTTTTCATTGATGCTTTAACCTTTGCGTTTTGAGTTAAAGCCACAACAATCGCATGTTTTGCTTAAAAATTAATTGCATTTCATGGTTTGTTTCCTCCTACTACTTTGGATATATTCTTGAGGACCTTTGAAAACTCAATGCTATAAGTGAAGACTATCTGCCTAAACAGAAATTATGTTAGTTTGCTGATGATTTCCAAGAATTTTGACATACGTTGTTCTGTTGTTAGAGCCCTTGCTCATTTTTCGTTACTTTTGTTTTATTCACAGAGTCATAATGCAGAAACAAACTCTTCGGTCCATGCCGACCAGATTTCCTAAACTGTACTATTCCCATTTGCCTGCATTTGGGCCATATCCCTCTAAACCTTTGAAGCTGTGAACTGGGAAGTGTAATCTAAAGATGAGTTTTGGCCTGTGGTGACAGCTTGTGTTAAACAGAAAACAGACTAAACAAGTTGTTATTAATTTATGAGGTTAGGTCCTGAAAGTTAATTGCAGATTGGTTACTGATCAAAAAATTATGTAGATGCTTCATCACCATGGAGGATCATTATGTTTAAAAAGATAGCAGAAGTTGGGCATTAACAGGGTCAGTACCTGGAATTGGTTCTAGCAAGTCTGGAAAAAGAACTTATGCTCATGCAGATGTTGAATGGTAATTGGGATGTTGTGAAAAAGATGATTAGCCTGTCAGGGAGTGGTCAGAGGTTGAATTGGGTTTTGGACTGTATTTTCAGTGCAAAAAGGAATCTGGCTGTTGATGCTACAGCATGAAGATTTGAAAGGACCCTGTGTAACCTCCCATGGGCTGCCTTTATCTGAATGGACTGAAAAAGTAATCCTGATCGACATTTTCAAAATAAAAATTCAACCAAGAAACTATCAAATAGGCCGGTGAAACAACACATCGTGAAAACCACTTGAGTAATGTGGCCAGTTTTGTTATTTTCTTTTATATATAGAACCATTAAATTCCTACAGTGCAGAAACAGGTCATTCAGCCCATCACGTCCACACCAATCCTTCGAAAAGCATTCCACCCAGACCGACACCCGACACTATCCCTGTAATCCTGCATCTTCTATGGCTACTACAACCAACCTACACACCCCTGGATACTATGGGCAATTTAGCATGTCCAATCCATCTAACCTGCACATCTTTGGACTGGGGGAGGAAACTAGTGCACCCGGAGGAAACCAACTCAGACATGGGGAGAATACACAAATTCCACACAGACAGTCATCCGAGGCTGGAATCGAACCAGAATTCCTGGTGCTGAAAGGAAGCGGTGCTAACCACTGAGCCACCATGCCTCCTTAACTTTTAGTTCTCAGTCTTTTCTGTGAATGAAGCTGAAAACAAAAGTTTTTTCTGTTTATAGCATAGACCAGTTAAATTACTTTGTTACTTAATTTTGCTTGACTAACGTTACTATATTGTTGATAAATTGTTAAGCGTTTTATTTAAGCTATAAACCAATGTTGAGAATTGATTATTTGCAAAGTCTAAATTTAGTTACTCAGAAGTCTGGTTAGGAACCAATGGGGTCATTTTTGAGGGTGTTTGAAGGTTTTAATTTTACTGTATTGCGAATACAGAAGTTGAAAGTCTGATTTGGTTTAGCTGTCCGTCTCCATCTCATAATACTGTTACATATTGATGTTGATTGAGGACTGAATATTGGTCTCAACATCCGGAATAAATTTACTATTCTTCTTTGAAATAGTGCCATGGTATCTTTTTCAGCCACTGAAATAGAGCAAACTGGGCCTTGGTTTAACATCTTATCCGAAAGACAGAGCATCAGCCTAAACTCTTCGGCTCAAGTCTCTACAACGAGCCTAACTCTTAGCCTTTTTACATGGAGCTGAGAGTGCTGCCAACCAAGTCATAGTTGACGCTACAAAGTACGCACACTTTGCAGAAATTGCCCAGTGTTATAAGCAAGTTCTAATCCTGGAGTACAGTCTAAAAGATAGTCTAAAGGGTCATCATAAAATAGTATACAATGAAGAAAAGATTGAAGCTTTTAAATGTTATTCTTCTCTACGTACAAATAAGTATTCAAAAGCTTACTTATTTAAGCCATAGTACTTGGAGCACTCAGGGTCAGAACCCATTGATGGTCTTTTATGGCATCTGAAATAAGTGTTTTAAGGAGCCAAAACGATTCTAAAATAGAAGCTTAATTTATAGAAAATTAGCCATGATAAAAAAGCAGTGTTAAATCAAAAGAAACTAAGAATGTCTTTTCTAGAAGTTGAACTTGCTCTTTTTTTAAAATATATTGGATCATAAATTACTACAACAAAGCACCCGAGTACAGCATCTGCCATTATTTAGTTTTGGCCTTACATGTTAAGATTTTGTAAATGTCTGTATGTAAGTTGCTAAAAGCAAGAGTTGATACCAACGTAGTGCGGGAAAAGGGCACCTGAGACTCGACAGAACGGAACAAGCAACAACCTTTCTGATAATTATCACTGCATATGTACCACACAAATTGCAAGTTAGACTGGGTAAATTCATTGTTAATATCAACTATAGAAAGAGTGCATTTATACAAAGAATGTATAGATTCACTGAGAGGAGATTAAAAGGAGATTTTTTTTACACACTTTCAAAATCTGCAACAATTAAACCCTGAAGGAATGACACTTCACACTGTGAATAAATTTGAGTGCCACAATTAGAAATATCTAAAGTATAATGTATCCAAGATAAAGATATTTGCAGCTAAATTATACATGAAAGATCATCTACCTCTGTCCTCCAGTGCATTGTTGGCAAGATTGATTGTATGAAGTCCTGAGTTCGGATTGTGAGCAAGGGCACTGGCTAACTTCTGTGCAAAATCCCTGGGGAGAAAGAAAAGAAATTGTGTAAAGAGATGCACTTGAACTGTGACCCACACTGGTTGAAATATACGTAAGGATCAAATGACGAAGACCAGCATCTATATACGCATTGCAAAAGAGTATCAGTGTTTATTCATAGGCACATATCTGTTTCAACACTATCCGATGGTAATTACAGGCATAGATTGAGTGCTATTACAGCATCAAGTCAATTAGTTATCTTTCCCATTATGAAATGTTTTACTACGCTTAAAGGAAATATAAAAATGTAAAAGCAATATGTTGCTGATGCTGGAAATTTGAAATAAAACCTGAAGATAATGGAAATACTAATAAGGTTTGGCAACATCAGTACAGAAAAACAAAAAAGTTAATATTTTGGGTTAATGACACTTTATATTAGCTCTGCTTCTCTCTGCGGATGCTGCCTCACCTATTAAATCAATGCATGCTGTTGTTGTTAGTCAACTAAAGTGCCAATACACACAGTACAGGTGAAAATAAATTTTCACATTACCTATTGAGAGAACACTTCTCTATTAAAAAGTCACCATGAACACTGCTCAAAAATGCCACATTATGTGGATTTAACTAGAAATAACCTGGGGACAGTATTAAGACAAAGGAAAAACTAAGGGTGCAATCACAATACTATCAATATTCAAGAATAAAGTAAGTACTGATAATAAAGTCTACCAAGTGAGCCTTTCCTTTAGAACACTTCCCTTTTTATTCCAATAATGCTAGAAATTTTTTCCACAGTGACTATGAAAGTGCAGAAGTTCACGTCTAAATCAGAGTGAAGGTGTGACTTGGCTGGCATTTCAGTAGAGATGGTGTTCTCACAACATTGCAGCTCTTATTGCTTTTAGTTCTGAAATAAGCCTGTTAGAATGTGTTGCATTTTATAGATAGTACATAAAATAGCAATAGTGTAGTGACAGCTCAGTGGTGAATTGAGAGCTAGTGGTAGTAAGGCCAATTAAATAACTGCTTTGGGCTGGTGTTCATGCTGTTTCAACTGCATCCATCCAGATCAGTGATATTTCATTCCATTCCTGATTTGAGACATACAAACGGTAGTGAAACACTAAGCAGTAAGGAAGAATGCCTTTCATTGCAAACATACCCAGGATACTCAAAGAAATGGTTAAGCTGCTAATGATTTCCAAGAACATTGATACATGTTGTTGACAGTCAGTTAAAAGGTGGTTGGCATTTTCTTAAACTTAAGTCACTGAAAAGTATATTGATAATGTAAATGTTACCTACAACTGGTGAGTACAAGATGTGTGACAGACTTGCAGCTAAGAATCATTTGGACACTAAAAAGAGATCCATGAAAAGATTCACTCATTATAGCAGAAGAATGTAATGAAGTAGCTGAAATGTTTGGGACAAATCGCGATAGCCAGAGGAATTCTTGATTTGATGTGCTGGAGCTTAAAAAAAGCTTGCACGATTAAACGTTCTGGAGCTGTTATGCGCTATAACCTCAGGTTTTGGTGTCAGCATCTAAGTGAGTCCGTTGCTGTTCCTAAAATATCCATTCATCCTCTTCATTAACCTAGCTACAGCTGTGACTCTATGGAGATGGAAGAGTGGAAGACATATTTGGTTGAGATTAAATATAGTGGGGCTATTCAAATCAGCTGGCGATCATCTACATGCCTCATAAGCACTCAATCCATTTTCATTTGTATATCATGCAATAGAGTGGAGAATGTTTTTACATGACAAAAAGATTTCACTTTTAGAAGGAATCTGCAGAGGCTATTCCTACCAATGCTATCACAAACAGAGGTCCTGCATTTCTCGTAAGTATCCTTATTGAAGTGCTACCACCATTCCAATAACAGTTTGTTTTTCTTTCATGTCATTATGTACATCACTTACAACCCCATTCAGAAACTGATTTGACTCCACAATATTTGCTGCTCAGCTCAATACTAGATTCGGAGAGCGCTTGACTTTGTATTAAACAGTTTAATTATGCATAGTATGTGTGTTGTACTACTCCAAAGATAAACACAGAAATTGGGTCACAGTTGTAATTGTTTAAACATGCGAGGTAGTGTACAGAATGTCAAAAGGTATTCTGTAAATGATACTTAAAAAACACACGGTTTCAGGAGTCTTGACCAAACAGAATTCATTAGAAATAATCGATATTCAAATATACTCACGTTCGGAGTCCTCCATTTTCCAGCACTAGCTCCTCTAAACGCGTGGATCTACCAACAACTCGTAGAATTTGCTCACAAACATCTGTGGACTGAAGAATTAGAAAATGAAATCTGCCTAAATAAAATAGAGAAGGAAAAAATTGCAAAAGCAACAAGAAAGCAGGTCCCACAGGTGTACAAAATCCTCAACCTTGACAGAGCGAGATCTTAATCATCTTTAAATTCATATTTTCCATGGTCTCCCAACACTGAAAAGAATTGTGTCAGTCTGTTTTGGATGGTTTTGTTAATGAATGACAATTCCAGGTCCAAGAGAAGAATGCAGTAAGTCAAAGAGTAACTGTGCTACATTCCTCGCTACACTTTCGATTGCCTAACAATTTAGATGTACTCACCTTCATGGAAAAATCTATTGCTTAACCCATCTGACTAACTACGGAAGGTTTAACAGGTAGGGGAAAATATCTGCACAAATGGAAAAAGGTAAAATACACAAACTTGAATGTGTTTAAAAAAAATGAAAAGTCCATGGTGCCTTTAACCTATCAGCCTATTACTCCTATCACTGTGATTACTATCCAATCTTAACAAACCCCATTCGCAAATGTTTAAGTGCCAATAGGTTTTGCATGAGCAGCATTAAAAATACCACAAAATGTCAGTGACTAAGTCATTTCAACAATATCATGAAATTTAATCAAAGTCATATTGATGACAGAAAATTGGGAGCACCATGAATCTGGCAATGCTGAGCTTCACACTTACATTCTTCAGTTAGTGCAAAATGCTATGTGCTATGAACCTCACAATGCAAAACTTACACTATGGTGCAATATAGCTTAATTTACTAATCAAACTTGTGTTTTATTATTGCTCAGTTTGTTTAAAATCTATTCAAGAATGATTGCAGATATTTCATCAATGCTCCACCACTTCACATTTTTTTTCTAAGTATCAATAAAAAAAGTTCTCATCCTTCTTGTACATTAATAACTATCCATAATGGAATCTGTTCAACAAACGTGTAAATGATGGTTATAGATGTTTTTGATGAAAAAACAGCCAACATCTGACATACATATATAAATTGCAATTCCTTTTAGAGGTGAATAAATTATAGCATACAAGAGCTTATTTTAAGTCATGACTTAAACTTCTTCTCAAAGAATGATGCTTTCTATGCAACTTGTACTGAATATAAATTTACATTAAATTTATATCAATATTATCCAGTAGAGTTATTAAGTTGCTTCATCCTCTGTCCAAACATAACTAACAATTAATCTGAAGGTTTTCTAAATGGCAATCAAACTTCAAAGATAATTGTAGTCTCAAGTGTTAATGCTTTTGAAATGAATCATGCCATGTTTTTAATTCTATGATTCAGACTCAAGACATTAAATTGAAACAGTCCAAATATGTAATTGGTAGCAAGGTCCCACAAACAGTACTGAGATAATTAGCAGATAATCTAGGTGATATGTCAAATCAGGAAAAACAAAGACGCTGTAGAATGTTTTACATCTATTTGAAGGAGCAAACAGGCATTGGTAGAATGTCACATCTGATACAGGTCCTGAATGCCAAAGGTTCAATTATAAGGATTTGAATACTGTGATGCAAGTTGAGCGACTTAGGGGAGTTTGGGTTTTGAACTAGTGGCATGCGAGTTTCTGTGCGTCTATATGAGTGTGAGATTTCATTTAATTAACTAGCCATTATTTCTCTGGATTCATGGTTTTGTTGTGAAACCAGAATGAGACAGACAGCCCCTGGAGTGGTAATGGGAATTTATTTGCATTAGAAGAGTTTTACAGGTGGACAGAATAAACATTGAAGAGCATTACCCTGCTTTCAGTAAGGAGGATCAAGAGTTTTTTTTTGCTTCTGCGAAACAACCATAGCTTGGAACCCTCTTTTAGTCCAGTTCACAGACCTCCTGGTTGAAGTTAGATATATGACCACCGTCCTTCTGGAGCAAGGGGTTAGTTCAGAAGAGTTAGAAATAGGTTACCTCTGTAACGATCGAGTTTGAAAGTTCTGGACCAGAAGTGTTGGTTAGAACCCTGAAAGGATTATCTGAAGTAAATCTAAACTTAGTTATGAAAATATGCACGGAAGAAGCTATCAGATTCAGCAGTGGCAATTGAAAGCAATAGTTTAGTTAAATATAGAGACAATACAGAAGGAAATTTTCATTGGTTTTTGAGCACTGTAAAGGGATGTCATTTTACTGTACATTTAAATATAATCTTTTGAAAGATTTTAATAGCTGGTTTATTCTAGTCCTTTTTTGTATTATGAAGTCCTCTTTAATTGTTAATGCAAGATCTGCAGTAATGCATGCTTGAGTTCCAATGAAAGAGGACCTCATTAAATTTAAGAAAAAACCCATGATGGCAGATCTCAGTCTCTGACCTGTTTAGTAATACCATCAGCTGGTATCATAACAATAGAAATAAACTAAATTACTTAGAGCATGCTGCTGCCTTCCACTCACCCAGAGTCCAACATTTACTTACCAGTTTAAGATCCTTAGAGGAGAGCTTTGTGAACCATTGGTTGTATTCCAGCGCAGCAACAATTGGTATTAAGTCTCTAATAAAAAGTGAATGAACTTTGATTATTTACAGAGACATTTGCCTTTTCGATTTATAATGTAATGATGCTGGCAAATAACTTTCATTCACAGTTTATCACTATTTTTCAAAGCCTACCTGTGCATCTAAATTTGCCATCCTTAACTATTAATCATGCTGATCCTTACCCATGCAGCATTTGATTTTCATTTACACAGAGCAATTTTACAAATTGTTCTGAGGCACGTTAATGGGTGTCTACATAAATTTCCCACTATCTCACACTAGAGTTAAAATGCCAGTATAACTGAGCACGTTTAAATAAGTCATGCCAGCAATATACTTGTCTCTCTATTAGGTTTACTTCTTTCAACACGATCATGCAATTTACCAAAACAGACAAGCTATGATGTCAGTAAAGACCACAGCAAGTGTACATTTGAAAAGTTTCCATTCCATGTGCTCCTCTACCCGTCCTCAGGTCTGAATCGAGATTAGCCTAAAATTCACTCAAGTAATCACTACACGTGAGCTTCGATAGGGTGCTGTCTGGTTATGGAACTATCAGAGCACAGCTCAATTATCATCTCACTCAAAGTACACATAAATATTGAGATTTTGAATAGCAATCATACATATAGTCTAGGGTTCTTCATAGCCCAGAAGCATGAAGACCAATCCAAATTTTTCATCCTCTATCATCCGCTTTCACCCACTACCTTAGTGCACAGGAGGAACTGGAACTAGTAACTTCTGAAACATGCGTTTCATATCAGATGATGCAGTTACCCACAATAAAGTAGATATTTTGCATCTATTACAACTAAAGCCATATTTAATAGCCCTTTTATTTAAAGCCAAGATGTTTTTGACATGCAGTGTTAGCTTTACATTTGCAGAAAAGAACATTTTAATGAAACCGATGATAAAACTGCAAATTCAAACCAGTAAAAAAAATTCATATACAACCAGACTGTTCTGCAGAAATCAAAAAGAGATATTAAACAATTTGCAAAACACTCTCCCAAAACTGGGGTATGCACCTTGTTCGACCTTGCCTTAAAAGGTGATAAAAGGAGTGCATGATAAATTGCAAAAGATCAAAACAAATAACATTAGAAATACTCAACATCTGTGCAGCAATAACCTTTGATCAGAACAGGGCAAGGTTAGAAATGTAACAATTGGAGCAAATATCTGAAGTAAATAAGGAAGAAATTCAAAGATTTTGAAGACAGCGTCTATCAAATCCATGACCATTACCATCTCGACAAGGGCAGCAAATACATGGAAACTTGCACGTTCCCCTTCAAACCACTCACCATCCAGATTTGGGAATACACCATTCTTCCTTCAAAATTGCTGGCTCAAAATCCTGGAATTCCCTCCCTAATCCCATTGTTGATCTACTAACAACACATGGAGTGCAGCTGTTTAAAAAGGCAGCTCACCAACACCTTCCCAAGAGTAACTAGTGATGGGCAATAAATACTGGCCCAGCTACAACTGCCCACATGCCATGAATGAGCAAAACAAAGTGAAATAGCAAAAGAACAAAGGGTGTGAAATGATGGTACACAGAAGAGATGAAATAACAAAAAGATTAGGGGAAAGGAAATGGTAATTGGACAAGTTCAGAGAGGTGTGAATGTCAGAATGGTGAACAGTTACCCTAAGAAAAAAAGGACAAGAGAAAAGCATGCAAAGATAGTGGAAATAAAACAGGGCGGTGACTGGGATTTGCAATCGTCCTATCTCAGTCAATTCTTTTCTCTCTTTGTCTTAGCCATTTCAAAATTCCTGACCCAAACCATCTCTTTCTTGACATGAATATTCAACCTCATGTTGAACAATTTCTCCTTTAACACAACACACTTCTTGGAATGAAAGGTGCGGCCATAGGTACCCATATAGGTTCTGTCTACGCCTGCCTTTTTGTGGACCATTCAGAGTCTGAGTCCGTCACCTGTGCCAATATACTGTAGATTGAATGTTTACCCTTTCCAGCTTTGCTTCAAATTTCCAGTTCTCTCATGTTCACAACTGGTCAAGCCCTGACATGGAGGGATTAGAGACTGGCGAGGGGCCTCCTATGTCAGCCAGGAGGGTGTGGTTCTGTTGTGTCCAGGGGGGTGTGGAGGCTTTTCAAGCATGCTGCTATATGACAGTTCAGTGGCAATCTGGTGGTTATGTAGTGCTGTTACCTAGTACAACCTTTGGCAATGCTCCCTTTCTACTGACTTCATCTCTCTCACCAGCCTTGGAGATAAAGCTAATATACCTCAGAGTCATATACTGATTCCAAGGTGAGCTTCTGACTTCATATTTATGTCATTGCTAAGACTGCTTTTTTGAAACTCTATAATATCACTGGACTTAGCTTAACTGCTGCTGAAATCCTCATTTATGCTTTGTTGCCTCTAGACCTGACCAATTCAACACACTTCCAGCTGGTGTCTCATATTCTAGTCTTGATATACTGGAGGTCTTCCAAAATTCTGTTGCTCATTAAATCCCACTTTACCTACCACCTGTGTGTACTTATCAACATACATTGTATCCCTATCATGTAATGTCGTCTTATTCTCATCTTCAAATTTTTCATGTCTATGGTCCCTTCCAACTCTAATCTTCTCCAGCAACATCATCAGATACATTTGACTATCACCACCAACTCTGGGCTCTTGTGCACCTCTAATGATAATTACCCCACCATTGGTGGTTTTACATCTAATTACCTAAGCCTTAACCTCCCTACACATCTCTGCTTCACAATCTCATTTCCTTGCTTTAGGAGACACTTCGAAACTTTGATCGAGCATTTAGCAATCAGACTAATATCTCTGTTCTGGCCTGTTGTCATATATTGCTTGATGATGCTCTGATAAAGCACTTTGGGATATTGCATTAAGTTAAAAGTATTATATAAACACAGGCTTTCATTTTCTGCAACATTCATGCTTTTGATTGAATGAATTTGTGCAACTTTCAAATTTTATAGAGAAATCCTTGATCCACACTCTAAAATCCAGCATTTATTTGAATATCATTCTTATTTGATGCAAACAGCATACTGCTAAATATACAGTAAACCAATTATGTTCAACAGCTAATGGAAATTATTGGCTACTTCAATACATTTAGGAACATTTGGAACTCTGGTATAAGATTCTATATAATAAAGCAAAATTCTTCTCACTTGATATCTAAGTAGGCACAAGCCAGTGAACTTAGAGTACAGATTTCTACCCAGTGGGGTGGCTGGCAAAGGTAACTATACATTCAACATTAGCAACATCAGAGGCACTCAGCTTCTGCACAGAAAAGTCAATGAATTTCATTAATCTCGTATGGAAGACTTATGCAAATTTGTTGGGGAATGCATTTCAAACCTTTGGCTGTGAAAGCACATCATCAACAACATTCAAGATGCACATACAGAATCAGCAGTCAGATTTGAAATGTAGATTGGAAAAATGTACAACCCACACAAATGCACACTTCATGCTGGCTTCAATGTAGTTCTGACTCAACAGCTCACTAAATGCTATCACCAAAGCAGATGCAAGTGTTTACCACAACTGTATTAAAAGGTCACCTTGCTATTGATAAAATTTAGTTTTGGTGATGAGAGTCTCCTCTGCCAAGCAGGCACTTAAATTGGGCAGCAATGAACCCTTCTCTGGAATCAAGGACACCAGGGTGCAAATTGTGGCAGCTGAAAAACGATAGGCCAGCAGCTTTGTTGCACAGCTGCATCACTGGGGAGGTGGCTCCTGCTGCCAGATATTCATTAAGGATCACCAAGACCCCAGGCCACAGGTGTGTAATGGCAGGAGACGGTTTCAGAGGAAAAGGTTTCAGGGAGGTTTGCACTTGCTCTGCCCCATCCCAAAAAATATTGCTTTTCAGGTTTCCCACATAGTACGTTGCCCCTGCACCACAAGGCAGAGACTAGTGGCAGCAGTAAGGAAGGCTGTCCACAAGCCTTCTGGTCATGGACTTCATTGGGGCAGAGATAGGAAGGCAGCAAAGTCTCCTCCTGCCACCATCTTACCTGAGAAAATGTCCCAATACCACAAACTTGCCATGAAGTAGACATTAAATAGTGTCCTAGAACTTGATTCGTCTTTAAAATTGCTGTTCACATGTCCTTCAAAGATTTTTTTCCAGAACAAAATCCATGAAATAAACCATGCTCATTAATAGAATTAAACAACTTATCATTATGTAATTTATCCAAATTTTGGAACTATTTTGTTTGCATTTGTAATACAAATAAATTGGAAATCCAGACAGTTAAACTGATGGTCTGGCAGTTATAGTAACATTGGCTTAACTTTAGAAAAAGCTTTAATTCACTTTTGAGAATGAATTTGGAACGCTCAGTGAACAGACCAATTTCATCAAGCATAAAGCTTCAAATTTACCTGTGGTCAAGGTGGCTGAAATCTTGCAAGTTCAGTTCCCTGGTGTCTTGTGTAAGATAAATAGTATCCACATCCTTGAAAACACAAAGCATTTCCACGAGAGGGAAACTAGAGTTATTACCTGATCTGTACCAAGCTGAACATGACTTGAAAGTGCTTCAAAGAAAATTTAAGATTCAGAGAAATTATTTTCGGTTTAAACTTGATCTTCATTTTAAAAGCAATTTCAAGACACAATAGAAAACAAATAAACAGGCATAATGTTTTACCTGCAAATTACAAATTACAGAAAAACTGATTCAAGAAACCATTTGATCTATTTGCACCTGTGTGTTTCCCATAAGTTAATTAGAAGCTTTCAAAGCATTTTGTTGAGTGTTCTTACCCATTGTACTTCCTCCCTATATGGTAATCCAAGCCAGTCACAAACACATGCATACATCTGAGAGAAACCACCTAGAATCAAAAGGTTCACATGTGACAACAGAACTGCACATATTCTAAAGATGTTTGAATTAGCTACAAAAGCATAGAAAGGATTAAATAATCAAGGGCAAAACTGGACTAACCAGGTGAGAAAAGTCCGGTCTTTACATTGACACATGACAGCTTGCATGCATTCGAGTAACATTAACATGCAGACCCACAGGAACTATTATAGAACTTTACACCTTCACAGTAGAGGGGCAATATAAGAAAATGCTCAGGTCTTGCAATACACTACATACCTTCTGTACTAAAAGAACAATTTTTACACTAAAATGTTCATGAAACAGGGCACATGCTTGTCAATTATGCTTGAAATATCAATATCTGAAATTTAACAGTTGTATTTGTTTCTACTGCAATTAATTCCAAAACAATAATGCTAGAATAAGTTATGTTAAAAAGTCTTTCCTTAATATGTTTAAAAAGACATCATAACTTAAGTTCCCTGAAGTTTCTCCTAGAATCTCTCTAAACCTAGCCAGAATAATGATTCTTTAACTTGTTCGAAGACACCAGGCATGCTCCTGCAATTTCTCATCACCATACATTAGATAACTTGAGCACTTTATGGAACACCACATTCTTGAAAGTTTCTTCATTATCTTCTCCAACAGATATCAACATGTAATTTGTACTTAAGGTAATTCACAGGCAAGTCAGTGCTAGAAATGATTCAGTCTTGAAATCTTGAAAGAATGCCCACTTTAATGTGGCCTGCTGACTTTCTACAAATCAATAGTGTACTAATGAACCATCAAAAATCAACACCTGTCTCTGCGACAGTGCTGCCACTAGTGATGATACTCATTTTAAACCAAATATGATCTCATAAGAGTTTGGTGATCAGTTAACAAAGAGAACTTGCTACTGTATAAATCTCTGCGGATCTTTATATTACCCTGTGAATGTTAAAGCCTCTTTCTCAACCTGCAAGTAGTTTTGCTGTGACTCATTAAACCACATTGGCTAGTGCCCAACGTGAAATAACACCACCCCAATCCACCACCCCATGGCAAGATACCACATGCCAAAACTAATTGTTTCTTCAGATCATTATGGGACAAAACTGCATCACTATTCTGCAGTTCCTTCATTTCTTCAAATGTTTGAAACTCCACAGACTGGTCCATCTTTGAGCAGGTGACACAGTGAAGCAAACGTGTGGTTTAAGTTAGGGATGGTCTTCAAATAATACACAGCAACTTCTGGTTCTTTTTTCCTGATCTCTTCACTTTCAAAATCCCCTTAACTTTCTCCTGTAGCGATGGATACCTTCATCATCTATTCAGCAACCTGTGTATGTATGACACAACATCATGAAGCAACACTTGTAAGTTTTAGATTCAATGCCATATTGAAAGTAATCCTCCAACTTTGTGTAAATTAATGAGCTCTTTCTCTGATTTACTCTAATTAGAATATCATCTCAGAAGCAGCACACTCCTGTCATCTGCTTAGCAACTGACCCATGGTGCTGTAGAACAGCACAGGAGCAGGAGAAGTGACAAATGTTAATCTTTCAAAACGGTACATCCTTTTTTATATACTCATGGCAAACAGTTCCTTGTACTCGTCAGTTAATTTTAATTGCAAGTGTGCATTTGATAAATTCATTGTACTGCACTGGCTAAATTTGAAAACAACTATCCCACTGGAAGGTAGTGGACAAATGTCTTAAGGGTTGCTTACAATCTTTACAAATTGCAACAAAGCCACCTGCTTTCTGAATTTCTACAATGGATATGAGCCATGCACTCCTCTTGACTTTTTAACGCCCCTGCTCTTTCTATTCTATTCAGCCCTTCATGTATGGCTTCTGGCTGTACATAATGCAATGGCCTACCCTTGCAAACTGTCAACTGTACATTATCCCTTATACTGATTACAGGTTTGTGATGCTTAATTTTATTTTTCGGTTCTCCTTGCTCAAACCACATTTGGCATTCCAGTAGCACTTCCACAATTGTAGAGACATTCTTATCCTTACCACATCTTCTTAAGCCAATTCTTTCTTATCAGGGATATGTTCCTTCCTACTACCACCAATGGCAAGTAATAAAAGCAATTAACTGTATTCCACTATGACACTAACTTCACCCAACATCAGAATACTGTTCTTGGAATAACTAGTCAGTTGCACAAATTTTGCGTGACTTAGATAGTCCCTATATTCTCTTTATAGTTAAATTAACAGTAATGGGCTACAATTGTATCAATGATGGAAATAAACTGTGTATCTTCAACAATCATTTCCACTGTTAATCTGAAAGTATAATTCCAAAGTTATCATCATCATCATCATCATCATCATCATCTGGCAAGTACTCTCTCACCGAGTACAACTCTTGATCTTCCTGCCCAGAAACACTAACTTCTGTTTCATCTATCAGATACACATTTGAGGATTTCCAGATGCCTGAACTGACTTCTGATCTACCATGACTTTGCCCTCAATCATAGCAGCAACCTGGTGCTTTACCACAAACTGGAGCATTACTATTGCCTCTGTTACTGCGTGCCATCTGGATATGATTGGCTTTCCCACAGGCACAGTTCATTTACTGGGAATGGGGACATAGTGGCGTGGATTCAGTTGACCACTGTATCAGCTCTGTAAAGAACTCACATGCAATTTGCAACTCTCTCTTGCTGCCATTTGTACCTGTGGCTTCATCACAAGCACCCTATTGCATCAGCTTATTGCCTTTGCTCAAAGCATAGCCTGGTATTTTCTTGTTCTTTAAGCCTCCTACAAACATGTCCCTTAAGCCAATTTTTAGGTGCACCACCATATCCAGTGACATAAGAATTCCTTTTATCCGAGAATATAATCGGAAACAGCCAGTCTCACTTGACGACTGTTTCCTTTCAAGGAATACAGCCCCAGTGCAATCTCATTCTTAATATTGTGTTCTTGAGTCCAGGCTTTCATTAATTTCACATATTTTAATGAACTGAGGTCTCTCAGACATGTATTTTTCCAATCAAAAGCACCTAACTCCATATTGAGGAAAACACTTACTTTTTCCCCAAATTCCCACTCTGTTCCCAAATGTACTCAGTGCCATTTTTACCCATCATGTACTGTGCTCACTCACTATCCTAGAATCATAGAACCCCTACATTGTGGAAACAAGCCGTTTGGCCCAACCAGTCCACACCGACTCAGATCGTCCTACCCAATCAACCTCCTATAATCCAGCTAATCTACACCTCCCTGAACACTGTGGGCAATTTAGCACGGCCAATCCACCTAGCCTGCACATCTTTGGACTGTGGGAGGAAGCCCACGCAGACACGGGGAGAATGTGCAAACTCCACACAGACAGTCGCCCAAGGGTGGAATCGAACCAGGGTTCCTGGCCCTGTGGGGCAGCATGCTAACTCCTGCACCACTGTACTGCCCCTGTACCTGAACATATGCACCTGGAGCAATTTTGCCAACTGCCCCAATTCCCTCAAAAATCAATCTTTTACAAATTCCAAAAACGTGTCACTATGTTCTCCTTACCTCAATTTTGCACTCAAAACATGAAAGAGCATTTTGACCCAGCTTTATCACCATTTTTCTGCTGTTTACTGCACTGGGGCAAAATTAACAACTTAACTCACAGCTGCCAGCCATTACAAAGCCAATTTTATTTACACCTCTCTAACAGAGAGGGCATATGCAAAACAAAATGCTCAGATCGTGCAACATATTACAGCATGGATAATCTACATCAAAATTAACATGAAACAATGTAAAGACATAGCATTACGGTGACTTTAGAGCAGCTCTGTGGTCTGATAGTGTCTCATTACAGAGAGAGAACCTGGGATAGTTTAATCCAATAATCACCAAACCTCAGGCAAAGGGAGAGGTAGAGAAGTAGAGCTCCTCATGGTAACCTCAAATGGCACAGGAATTGAACCCATGCTATTACATCACAAACCAGCTGTCAGGCCAACTGAGCTGACACCCAAAAGGCATGGTAGAATAAAATGTACAGCAAAAAAATTGTCCCTCATTACTATTGTGCTAGACCAAATACTCCTATGTTCTAGTACATTTAAAAACAATAAACTATCAGTAAATCTCACTACTGGTTTCAGGAATGGGCAATAAACGCTGGCCTAACTCAAGAATTTCATGTCTCAAAAAAAAATTTAAAAAAGCACTGTAGCATAATTTAAGGATTGTTACCAATTTAACTCTTCCCACTTCTGTATGCTCTACATTAGGATCTTTTAATAAACAGCACACACACAGCCAGGTCTTATATGGATCCAAGTACAAGAAGAGTAATATTCACTTCTACTCTACTTCTACTAGTGTCAGCATAATACTCCTGATTGAAGTTGCAAGGTCACTGCATATTTATAAATTATAAGAAACCTAGTGTGCCTATCTCGGAGCCAGAAGGCCTTATTTCAAGTCCCATCTGCTCAAGAGAATGTCATAACACATCTGAACAGGTTGATTAAAAGATCTAAGACATCTAATTAGATATTACTAATAGCTAGCCCTCATTTTAAGCAGACAATTTTAATTTTAATGACAAATTTCAACAAGTTAGAAGCTACTACAATCAAGAATGGCAGGTTATTCCGGAAAGTTGCCAAATATTCCAAAGAAGCCCAATCAAGAGCTCCTTCAGCTAAGATCCACAACTAAGGTGCAAACTAAAAAATCTGATTGTAATGCAAAGTTCATCAAATTTTACACATCATTAAAAAGCACACTAATACTTGTGAAAGCAAAAAGAAAAGTGGAAAATAAAACTTTACAAATCCTGTTAAACGTCATCAAGTTCCAGTGCTTACTTACCACTTTAAAAAAATTGTAGTAGACAAACTTGAAGTACCTCAAGTGGAGCAACATTACAACTACAATTTAACTTGGAAAAACAAATCAAAAAGCCAAACAAGTAGAAAAAGCAACAAAAATAAATTTAGAGCTCATTCTATAAAATTGCATAACATTTGAGCACATTTTGTAAAAGTGTTTGAATGATAAGCAACACTTGAAGAATATGGCTTGAAATCTGAACGTGGTCAAATTTAGTGGATTTTAATGTATTTCCCAGAATAAGTGACATCATCTTATTAAATGCATATTATTTCAACAATAATACTATTGATGAAGGATCTAAGAACAGTCATCTTCATTTGTGACATGGCAACCATCTTGTAGTATTGTTGTTCCACTACTTCAGATTTCAAAGCAGTGACCTCTAAAACCCACACTTTGTTTACTTACCACAAGGACCTGGTTCAGCAATGTTCTGACTATCCCACAATGCCTGCACAGATGACAGTCGATCTGAAGGTTCCAGTGTCACTTTTTTCATTACCCTCCTGTTACATAGATGTAAAAGAAACAGATTATTCAGAATGCTTGATGGAGGGGAGTAGGTAAACCCCTAGGATATGGGGTAGACCGCTTGGTAGAGTGAAGTTGGAGGGATGTGGAGCAGAGATGAGTGGGAGGGGTTTTACTGAGTAGCTTGTGGTTACTGGAAGAAATAAATCTGCTTCTCTAGTCCCTCAAGCAATGTTTGAAAGGCAATCTTGCCTCTTTGCAGCTGATGGGTTTCCCACTTGGTCAAATTGAGTTAAAATCGAATGAGTGTCAAAATTAAGGCAGGCAGCCTTGTTGCAATATTTAAATCATCAATTTATTTGTTGAGAGCAGATTAGTTGCCTACCCCTCATTCTACTCCAATGAGAAGTAGAGGAAGTGGTTCAGTTTGGTTCCTGGTTCATATTTTGGCACTTTAACCTCTATTCAGATTGCAGATCACTGATTTTTAGAAACCAAGATTCAGCTTGAAGTTAACACCTCTACAAAATAAATGAAATAATGCTGTCAATTTTATTGCACACGAAATGTTTTAAGTTATTCACGTATATTAGCCACTCACTCATTCTTCATCAGAATATGAATGAATGTGGTAGTAACTGATTTATGGATTTTTATGGATAGAGAAACAGAACCATGGATGGTTTTAACGAAAAAAAAACGGAGGACAGCTCCCTTTAGAACAAGTAAAGGTTTTTGAGGAAAACCCAAACTCAGAAAAACACTTGTCTTTATCCGAATGAGATCAAAATCAGATGCAGGCAGATCCTGTAAAAAATACACAACTCCAACTAGTCACTATTTGATATTGTAACAAAGTTTTTTTTTAATATATTCACAGGATGAGGGTATCTCTGGGTAGGCTAGCATTTCTTGCCCATCCCTAAATTCCCAGAGGGCAGTTAAGAATCAACCATATTGCTGTGGGTCTGGAGACACACGTAGGCCAGACCAGGTAAGGATGGCAGTTTCCTTCCCTAAACAAAATTAGTGACCAGATAGGTTTTTTCCCTGACAGTCAACAATGGATTCATGGTCATCACTAGACTCTTAATTCCACGTTTTCTTAATTTTGAATTCAAATTCCACCATCTGCCATGGTGGGATTTGAAACCCAGCACATTACCTCAGTCTCTGGATTAACAGTCCAGAGATAAGATGACTAGGCCACTTCTTCCCTCTCATGTAATGCCATTCAGGCCATCACGCATTGCGCAGAGTTGTAAGAATTCTCCACAGAATCTACCAATCGCGTGAATAACTGCAGCTAGTGGATTAGGAGTTTGTACTTATTTAAGAGTTATTTGCTTAACATGCTGCTGTATAGTGGTTTCTGGTATCAGCTGTTCATTCAGTGAGGACGAAAATCCACATGTACCTGATGTTTAATTACAAAGTGACAAATCTTGAGATGTATTTCTGAGGTTAATTAGTCTCCGGGTAAGAATGGACAGCTGTACATGATTTGAATGAAGTCACTCTCCATGGCAAATTTAAATCAGATATCTAAAATAAAGACAGGAAATAAAATGCTGGAGAATACTTAGTAGATCTGACAGTAACTCTGTTTCTTTCCAGAGTTAATGCTTCAAGCTTATGACCTTTCATCAGAGCTGGGAAAAGTTAGAAATTTAATCAGCTTTAAACAAGTGAAACATCAGGGATAGGATAAGGTGTCAGATAAATTGGGAGATGCAAGAGATTAAATGACAAAGATTTGGTGGTGCAGGATCAAATGTGACAAGTACAGAATCAAAAAGTGTGTCTAAACATGCTATGAATGGCAGCTGCTCACCAGCTCTTTCGTCATTTAATCTCTCGTGTTCTTCATTTTATCACAGCCCCTGTGCTTTTTCCATTTTTGCCCCTTTCACTTGCTCAAATGTTACTTCCCTGGTTCTGATAAAAGGTCACTGTTCTCAAATATTAGCACTGTCTCTTTCTTCCATAACTGCTGCCAGACCTGATGAATATTTCCAGTTTTGTTTTCAGGTTTCCAGCATCTTCACTGGTCACAAATTTGGTACATTTAAGTCCCTGTTGATGACTAGCCAGCCACTCTGGCTCAGTAATAGCAATCTTCCCCACTGAGATCCAGATAGTTGTGCAATGCCATGCTTTCCTTAAGCATGGTAACCGTAGCTGGATAAGCAATGGTTCTCTCTGCATGAGCATTATCCTGTTTCAAACTTGGACATCCCAGTCATCCTATAAAAATCTTCTGCAGAGTGCATGCCTACAGGATAGCGTATAGCTCCCAGATCCAGTAAACCACGACTCTATCATATGGCTTCTCAGTGGTCTGGATACTCCATTCTGGTAATGGATTTGCACACAGACCACCCACCATGCTAAACAAAATAAATTAGAAAGTTTTGGGGATGGGGTGGGAGGAGAGGAGAAAGAACAGGATTGAATCTTTTATCAAGCCTTCGAGAGTCCAAGTACTTTACAGTTAATTAAGCATTTTTCAAAGTGTTGTCACTGTTACTATACTAGGAAAGATAAACTATTTGCACAAAAATTAGAAAAAATGCTATGAAAGGACAAAGAAGATTAATGAAGGAAGAGTGGTGGACATTGCCTATATGGATTTCAACAAGGCTTTGTATGGGAGACTGGTTAGCAAGGTTAGACCATTTGGACCACAGGGAGAGCTAGCCATGTAGATACAAAATTGACTTGAAGGTAGGAGACAAAGGGAGATGACGGAGGATTGGTTTTCAGATTGGAGGCCTGTGACCAGTGGTGTGCCTCAAGGATAGGTGCTGGGTCCACTGTATTTTTTTATCATTTATATAAATGATTTGGATGTGAACATAGGAGGAATGGTTAGTAAGTCTGCAGATGACGCCAAGATTGGTGATATCGTGGACAGTGAAGAAGGTTATCTCAGGAGGACAACAAGACCTTGATCAGATAGTCCAATGGGCTGAGGAGTGGCAAATGTAGTTTAATTTAGATAAATGCGACGTGTTGTATCTTGGTAAGGCAAATCAGAGCAGGACTTCAACAATTAAAGATAGGGTCCTGGGGAACGTTGCCAAAAGAGACCTTGGGGTGCATGTTCATAGTTCCTTGAAGGTGGAGTCACAGGTGGACAGGGTAGCGAAGAAGGCATTTTGTATGTTTGCCTTTATTGGTCAGTGCATTGAGTATAGGAGTTGGGATTTCACGTTGCAGCTGTACTGGACATCGGTTAGACCACTTTTCAAATATCGTGTTCAATTCTGCTTTCCCTGCTATAGGAAAGATGTTGATAAACTTGAAAGGATTCAGAAGATTTACAAGAATGTTGCCAGGGTTTGACGGTTTGAGCTGCAGGAAGAGGCTGAATAGGCTGGGGCTCTTTTCCCCGGAGCATCAAAAGTTGAAGGGTAACTTTATAGAGATTTATAAAATCATGAGGGGCACGGATAGGGTGAACAGCTTTTTTCCTCAGGATAGGGGAGTCCAAAATTAGACATCATAGGTTTAACGTGAGTGGGGAAAGATTTAAAAGGGACCCAAGGGGCAACATTTTCATGCAGAGATTGGTGTGTGTATGGAATGAGCTGCCAGAAGCAGTGGAGTAGGTTGGTACAACTACAACACTTAAAAGGCACCTGGATTGCTACATGAATTGGAAGAGTTTAGAGGGATATGGGCCAAATGCTGGCAAATGGAACATATTAATTTAGGATATCTGGTCAGCATGGACAAGTTGGAATGAAAGAATTATACAGCATGGAAACAACCCTACGATCCAAGGCAAGAAAAATAATATAGTTTTTTAAAGAAAGTGCATTGGAGGTGTGGCTGTGCAAATGCAAGGTGAAGAATGTGTCAGAGGATAATGTATATTAGAAATTTTATTTTCATGCGGCTATTCAAATTGAGAGAAAGCAGAACAATGGAATTAACAGTAAATGACACTGATAATGGTATGAGTAGACTAGGCTAAACAGCCTCTTTCTAGCCCAAAATATCTACGATACTAAAATGTCAGGGCTTCCAAAGTAAAATCAAGGAGCTGACAAAGAAAAATAAGCTGTTGCATTGGAACAAAAAAAAATTTTTTTGTGCTGAATGCCAATTAGGTTGAATTCTACTCGCAAGGCACTATTTGATGTTCTTGGACATCTCCTAGTAAGTTTTAGTGAACTCAATTTATTGAAAGTCTGCTACTTTCGTTTTTAATAAAAAAAAATCTGTGGGAACCCAGAAGATTAGGTCAATCTAGAAAAATTGCACTGTTCCTTTGTCCTCAAGCATCAATTTGTAAATATGGCACCAATACTATTTTCAAAATATCTAGCAAATGGTAGGTATGCTGGAATTTTTAAAAAAATAGATACACATCAACATTATGAGACTAGGAATTCCACAACAGTAAACAATAAAATTGAAGGTAGGAAGCATAAAAATTAACTGAGAACGGAGAAAAGATGAGCAAGGTGCATGAGCACATCAGCAACTTACATTAAAAATAACCGATCAGTCATTTAAGAATAAATAATAAAAAGGAAGTCAAATGAATGATGGGGTTGATTAGGAACCAAAAATAGCTCTCCTTGTGGAAACAAGTGGTATGGCTAATATGAAATTAGTACTTTGAAACCATTTTCTATAAAGCAGAGGAATCGCTAATATCACAGTGGGCTAGGAGATAATGGATAAACTTGATGGAATAAGAATAGATAAAGAAGGGGTAGTGAGCAAATTTTGAAATTTATTGTTCCCTTTCCAATTCAAATGGATGCAGGTGGAGCAGACCTACTGCTGAAAAAGCACAGCAGGTCAGACAGCATCTGTGGAGCAATGAAGTCAACGTTTTGGGCCGAAAACCTTCGCGAGGACTGAGGAGAGGGAGAGAAGCCCAGAAATAAATATAGGGAGGGGGTGGGAGCAGGGCCAGGGGCAGGGTAGGTGGGACGGAGACAGGTGGATGCAGGTAGGAGTTATTGTGGTTAGTCAGTAAGAGGGGTGAAGCGGAAAGGTGAATAGGAAGATGGAC